GGTCACTGTCCTGTTCCAACAAACCCTTAAGTCCATTGGATTCATCATCAGCTATAGCACTACTGGCCATGTTGGTCACTGTCCTGTTCCAAACAAACCCTTAAGTCCATTGGATTCATCATCAGCAATAGCACTACTATCCATGTAGGTCTCTGGCCTGCTTAAAACATCTTTACATTTATCTAATCTATTGCTCTTCCTCGCTATGTATGAGTCCCTGTCATGAAAAAATCCTACATAATTTACTTGGTAGACATGACCTGATATTTACACTACGTCTTTTTAAAGAAATTTTTGGAAATCAAAATAAATCGATAATCTAACCTATTAGTCCGGATTATCGATTATTAAGTTGTGAAATAGATATTTATAATTGTAGATATTTCATTTTTAGTGCGGTGGATATGGGGTGGTTGAAAAGTAGAATGTAACAAGGTTTACCCATATAGACTAGACTGTGAACAAATTGAATAATAATGAAAACATGAAAATTTGTGTGCATGTTATTCAAGTGAAAACAACAACTATAAACAAGGAAAAAAAAAGATATACATTGAAAAAAAAAAAACCAACAACTTACTGCTTTCTTAACTTCAGATTTTTTTTTTTAACTTGGGTAATTTAATTTTTTTTAAAATAGTTCTGATAAGCTGCTCCAACCTTCTCTACAATTCAGTCAAGTACGCTGTCCGTAGTTTAACATTTCATTAAATACTAGAATATATGACCAGGTGTTCCGGGAAATAATGGAATGCTTACTGTGCTACTTTTCATCTGTTCCTGTCACAATATCTAAAATCTAAATTTTACAAATGTAACAGAAAAGTTTTAATTTATGGTATCCTCAAAAAAAAAAAAAAACCCCATAAAATTCATCAAAATTATATTTTTAAATTTAGGAGAAAGATAACTAGACGTTTGCTAATTTAAAAAAAAGAAGAAAAATATAAATTTTAAAAATGTAAAAAAAAAGTTTTAATTTATGGTATCCTCAAAAAAAAAAAAAACCCCATAAACTTCATCCAACTTGTATTTGTATATTTAGGTGAAAGGTAACTAGACGTTTGCTAATTTAAAAAAAAAAAAGGAATCCGTGACAGATATTGGTTTTTGTCGTAACAAAAGGTTTTACGAATTACTGTCTTTAAACAATTTGGGCCGATACAACCATTTCCCAGACCTCTCTGAACTACAAAGAAAATACATCTCCTAAAAATAGTAAAATTAAAACCAACATCATATCTTAAGCTTTAAAACAAATACATTCACCGTTTTAAATATCTGTGTAAAGATTAGCTTCATCATAGGGAAAACAAAATAAGCTTCACGATGGGGTATGAAAATTAGCTGTACAATGGGATATTAGCCTTATCATGGGATATAACGATTATCCTCATCATTGGGTATAGAATTAGCCTCCGCATGGTTTAAAAAAGATTAGCTTTGTCAAGGGGCATAACGATTAGCTTCATATTTTCACACATGTGCGATCTTGCTTGAAAGCATTTTTTTTCCTGAACGGACCTATTGGTCAACCAAACAACACTGAATGATCGGACCCCTTGGTCAGCCAACCAACTCTAATGACTGAACCCCTTGTTCAGCCAACCACCACTGAATCACTGGACCCATTGGTCAGGCAATAAACTTTGAATGACCGGACCGATTGGTCTCCCAAACAACACACAATTAAACGAAAGATTTGATCTTGACCATGAAAAATATCAAAGCTCCAGGTATAGACCTTATCACTGCAAAAGTAAACTGTACAGCAAAGAACTGCATAAACAAAAAACATCTAGAATCTTGCAGGAGGAAGAAATGCCAAAAATGCGCTCATAATTCCAATTCACAAAAAGCTATATACGCTGGATTCCTAAAAGTATAGAGGAATCTATCGACTGATTGTAACTTACAAAATCCTCCTCAAGCTAAAAGCTAGATAACTGGAAAGGTAGAGTGAACCGATCCTTGGTTAAAATCAACATGGATTCCGACAGAATGGGTCAACCACAGACATGGGCGCCCGCAGAAAATTTTCTAGGGGGGGGGCGAAAAAAATCGACTAACTTTCCAGGGGGGGGGGGCAAAATTTTTTTAGTAATGTTTTAATATAGTTTAATTTACTGTAGCGTATTTGTATGGTGAACGAACGGACAGGACATCAGCTTAGTTACTTTCTCTTCATTTTCTCTTTACTTTAATACATTTTTTGTCTATTTTTGTCTAAAATTTTTTTTATCCAATCAATCCAGGGTGAAGGGTGGGGGGAAGTGCCCCCCTTGCCCCCCCACTGCGGCGCCCATGATCACAGATCGTATCTGTCAAATCAGATGTTTTCTGGTGGCAAAATGTTAAGAATAGAACATCGACATAAATTAAGAATAGAACATCGACATAAATTAAGAATAGAACATCGACATAAATTAAGAATAGAACATCGACATAAATTAAGAATAGAACATCGACATAAATTAAGAATAGAACATCGACATAAATTAAAAATAGAACATCGACATAAATTAAGAATAGAACATCGACATAAATTAAGAATGGAACATCGACATAAATTAAGAATAGAACATCGACATAAATTAAGAATAGAACATCGACATAAATTAAGAATAGAACATCGACATAAATTAAGAATTGAACATCGACATAAATTAAGAATAGAACATCGACATAAATTAAGAATACAACATGGACATAAATTAAGAATAAAACATCGACATAAATTAAGAATAGAACATCGACATAAATTAAGAATAGAACATCGACATAAATTAAGAATAGAACATCAACATAAATTAAGAATACAACATCGACATAAACCAAAGATACGGGGATACGAAAACAGCTGATGGATGACGTAGACAGGAAATGTGTGTACGATGCTCTACAGGAAATTTGAGACCCTCAGACAAACATACCCGGCTCAAACATATTATGATGGGCTAATGCATAAGTAGAGTCAAAGTACGGTGAGAGTAATAGAGGGAGATTACGATATATCATGTTCTCAGGCAAGGAGAATAAGTATTATGTATGCTGTTTAACATCACTTTAGAAAAAAAGTATGAGAGACATACATGTGAGCACCAGTGGAACTATCGCAAACTGCTTCCAGAGAAAAATTATAGAAATACAATTATCAGGAAATATATAGAGCCAACCCTGCAGTACCTGAAATATCGGGACGGCATCGCTCTAATAGGCAGTAGCAGCAATGAGATCATTAAAGCATTAAATGAAATTGAAGAGGCTTCAGTAAATCTGGTCTTGAGTTAAATGAAGCGAAGATAAAGTACAAGGTAATGTTACGAAACACACCTACTGGTGACAACAGAATCAACCGCACCTTTTAGAGTGTGGCTACTTTCAAATATCTAGGAGCTACTATAAATACTATATTATCTTGATTCTCTCCCTGAGTAGGCCTTGCAACCAGTCAAATATCCTCTTCGATACAGATTAATTAGACACCAACAATTTGTGTCAATATTACAATATAAGGTAAGCTTTAATAATAATTTTACAGAATATAACAGTATACGTTTCGGCACATGCCTTCTTCAGTACAGGCACAGAAACATCGCGAATCGCCTCTACATAAATAGGAGCGAGAATGATCAATACATTGATCGTGCGCCCTTAAGATATAAAAGGAAAATAATAAGAAAAAAATGCATACAATGAAATAACAGAGTCAAAAGAAATGATAACAGAAGGCAACCGTTTCAGCCAACAAAAGCTATTAGAGAGAAAAAACATGTCAAATGGGTTCAAAGCCGATTATCCCAGAGATCCAAATATCTTAACAATCTATCCACATATTTGAAGGCCAACCTCAATGGAATCCCATCAGACATCAGAGATAAATGGTTCATTCTGGGGGGCAGCACAGGGCCAACTGTAAGACAGTGTATTGATTATGAGGCTATGCCGCGGATGTTGATGTTAGTGAGTGACTGAGAAATTTGTAGTCTCGAGAATAAGGAACGGAACGTTTTACCTATAAACTTCAATTTTTATTATTTTTGGCACTTTTACTAACAACAAAAATATGGGTTTCTTCTTATGCCCTATGTGATTTTAATAATTCGATTACAAACATTCTTATATGTTATCCCGTATGTTCAGAAACAAGAAGACTTGAAGAAAGGCCATAAATTAAAACCATGGGGCGGGGGGGGGGGGGGAAGGTGACGCACCGGAAAGCATCAACCTCTGTGACGCGAATAGAGAGTACTTTTTCTAAAATTCCATATTTTAAACTCTTAACACTGATAATAAAAAGTGAACCCATTTGTAGGAGTTCTCGCCGCTGCCGGTCTCAACAGCTTGTAGCCATTAAAAACAAAGTCAATACACTATCTAGTGTTAGTAGAACAAACATTCCCAGCTGCGAGGCTTACCTCGAAATAGGTCGGAAGGCGTCTCCACACAAACAATTAACACTCACCACACAAACAATCAACACGTCCCCAAACAAACAATCAACACGTCCCCACACAAACAATCAACACGTCCCCACACAAACAATCAACACGTCCCCACACAAACAATCAACACGTCCCCACACAAACAATCAACACGTCCCCACACAAACAATCAACACGTCCCCACACAAACAATCAACATGTCCCCACACAATCAACACCTCTATATATGTACCGTATTTATTGGCGTATAACAGGCACTTTTTCTCCCTGACAATAGGGGGCAAATGATGTGTGCGTGTTATAAGCCGATATAATGTGAAGGACCCATTAGTACATACCGCATAGCGAATGGTGCGTGTTATACGCCTGTGCGTGTTATAAAACGATAAATACGGTCTATAAATACATATATATAAATATATATTGACAAAACCATTCCATATTCCCCCTCCCCCCCCCCATACTACACACGTTAATAACCTTGAATAACATAAGTGTAAGGTTACCCCGTGTGGCAGGAGAATAAGACTTGGCAGTTAACTGAACTGGAACAGTGTCAGTAGGACAAGCAACAGGCTGTGAGTGTTGTCAACAAACTGGAGCGGGCTACCTAGCGGATTCTAAACATGGCCGAGGTAAATGTGTGTAGAATTAACGTAGAATACATTATACAGTTTGTTCTAATTCGCATTTTCTCTCTTTGTTGATGCATATTCTTGTTTGTTTATTTGATGTTATAATTCCTAAGTTTTTATAATAATAATGTCTGAGCAGTGTCGATGTTATGTATAACGTATCTTCACTTGTCAATACATCATACATCAGTTTACAGTATGTATATATCAGTATCTATCAATGCTATACGTATATATATATATATATACATACATACATACATACATACATACATACATACATACATACATACATACATACATACATACATACATACATACATAATATATATATATATATTTATATATATATATACATACATATATTTGTATATATATATATATTTATATATATATACATACATATATTTATATATATATACACGATTTTTATTTATATGTATTATGAAAATGTAATTTTATATATATATATATATAAATATATATATTTATATTTATATATATATATATATAATTATATATGTACGTATATGTTTATATCTTATTATATTTATATATTATTGATATAGATGGACAAATATAAATGGACACAAACGGTCCATTCATTAGATTAAACTTCATATTGACAGAGGGCTCAGATTTACAAGAGGAATCAAACTATAACTTTGTGACATCACAACATTTTAATTTTCTCAATGTGAAAAAAAAATATTGTTTAAGAATAATAATATGTTCGTTCAAAACAGAATACATTTTTTACTTTGTAATAAAAGAGCCTGACATTATGGTCCCTATTCTTCACTAATGTCATTATTTCTAAGACACCTCAATGGGTTAACTTAAATATGCAATCTTAGCATATTTTTAACACTCCTAAACTCGAATAATCATACTAGTGTGCTAAATATGTATTATAGGAATCAGAATGATCAATACATTGATCATGGGCCCCCAGAATATAGAAGAAGTGTTATTTTAATGACGTGCTTACCCCATAGAGCAACTGCCCGTAATGCGTTCAAGAGATCCATATGCTCATGTCGCCTACATGTCCACAGCCGGCGATGATCAAATCAGTTTCGGCTCTCGCCCTGCTGGGTCTCGCCTCCGGCTGTGGTTTGACCTTGGCGTCCCTGGTCAGCTCCACGTGGATGACCTTGGAGGACGGGACACGGGTTGGTCTGTTCTCAACGTGCATCGCCAACCACTGCGACCGCATCAACTTCACACAAGGCGACACGGGCGCAGGTAGGGTAGAATTGTACTGCAATAGGTTTAACACTAATTGTAAAGCTCTGCCTGGTGCGTTTTCATCTTGTCATTTTATAGAAAGAAATCAAAAACAATACATAAAATACAAGACCTATTACGTGGATTCAATGATTAAATGTCCCATGCCATTGATGTGAATATTTTCCCAAGATCATCAACGTTATTAGTCCTTTACTTTAAAAAAAAAGAAATAAACCTTATTAATGACATTTCTTTATTCGTTTTTGTGACTAAAAAGAATAATGAGAAGAATATTAAGGCTTACTCTGCAATTTATCACTTAATAACTTTATATGTGATCAACTTTATTCCTTATAAAACTTCCGAGTGTGATACTCTTCTTCAGTGTTTCCAAAATATTTCAATTTTATAGTGAAGTTTAAAAAAAAAGATAGTTTTAACTGAACTTGTATTTTTCAAGAAACGGCACTAAAATACCTGAGTTAAAAAATATTATATACTAGCAAAATTACCCGGTGTTAACCCCAAGAAAAAGAGAATGAAAAGAAAGTTCTTCTTGAGAATATCACTAGGTGCATGCAGGTCACTTGCTCGAGACAATGACGCCAATTAAAGATCACCCTATCTGTGTTTTTTTTTTATTTCACGATATCGATAGAGATATGTGTCGCCATATCTTTAATTACAAAATCTAACCTTTAACCCCCGAAGCTTTTCGCATTGTTTAGCATTTATGTACAATTTATTTGTTTTATATTTTTTACTTTTTCATTTATTATTACTATTTTTATTTCTAGTTTTTTTCCCGGGGGGTGGGTGGGGGGAAGTGGGGGGGGGGAGGTGGCCTGCTCTAGTGTGCGGGTTTTTTTTAAAACAATTCTGGAAATAGTCTTCCACAACAATTTAAACTGTTTGGGAAAAACTGTCCTTCATCTCTGACATGTTCTACTCTGACATTCAAGACTGCTTCTCTTTTTCAATTAGGTCAAACGTATTTTGCATTATGCATGTCTAAAGACTTTAACATTGTTGTATAATGTTTGTGTTGGGTTGTGCAATATAGGTGCATAATTTTAAGGAGAAGATTTAAGCTTAGTATAATATACTCGTGCCATTTCACTGCGCCACTGAGTTTCCCGTCTTTTCACAACAAAACAATCTTTAAAAATGGCAACAAACTAAAACTTAGGTGATTGTGAATGTTGAATTCGTTTTGCTGTTGTTAAATAACAGACATTCATTAAACAACAAGGTGGAATGTCTTCATATGTTGTTGTACGAGTTTGATCTCATCATACTTAAAATGACGTGATACAACTTTACATTGCCAACATTATTAAGCGGTCCAGCATTACTATGGACGGGTAAGCCAGCCTCAGTGAGCAGTTTTCGAAGAGCGCCACTTTGAGCCCATTTCGTATACTTTAAATGGCTTATGGGTTTGTCCATTCTGCGTAGTATTTCGATTGCCTTCACCGAGGGACGGGCGACAAAGTCAAGGAGAGCCCCCTCCCCCACCCCCGGCGTAACAAACTCTCGTTCTACTTTGGCTTCATACCAAGCTTGTATTAATAGGTTACGAACACGCGATACATCAAGAAAACAAGAATAATATCATGTACTTGGAGTTACTTGTAATATAAGTTTATAAACAAAAAGTTTATCTAAAATCCTGATTGTGATGGTTGTGAATGGACACCACTCCCAAAACAATTCTGACTATTTTTATAAATAAGAAATAGCGTGTCAGTAAAATTCCCAAACATATTATAGATCTATAGACTGCAACAAAACCCGTTGATAATTGTTTAAAGTGTATCACTGGGACGACCCCGTTCGATTTAAAGCAACAAAAAATACAGTACACAATGTAGGGAAAATCCTGATGATTGTTCCCTTGACCTGCGACACACAGTGTGCATTATTACTTTCTTCTACAGTTTTAAACGAGTCGTCTTCTATACCCGATACAATCCGAGTGTGTGGCAATGGGTATTCCATCAGTTCAAAGTTGACAATATTCCGCTGTATACTTGAGTTTTCATCAGTTCAAAGTTGACAATATTCCCTTGTATACTTAAATATTCCCTCCCCCCCCCCCCCCCGTTTAAATTTGACAATATTGCCTTGTATACTTGAGTCTCTCCTCATTTAAAAGTTAACATTATTCCGTTGTATAACAGAGTATTCAATTTTCTAAAAGTTGACAATGTTCACCTGTATACATAAGCATTTCATCTGCTAAAATTTGATAATGTTCACTTGTGTAATTCTTTCTTTCTTACTCCTCTTTAGAAAAACACTTCCGCTTTAAGGTAGTTCGCGGGTTACTGGTGTCCGGGCTTATCACTGGTGTCTGTGGTTTTATCACTGCCCTCGGCTTTGTCGTAGATGCCGTCAGGAGTAAAGGTGTCAGCAGCCTGACACTTTTGCGAGCTTCAATGGTTCTCAACCCAATAGCTGGTAAGAAGACATTCTTTACACTTTACTGTTCATGAAATGAAATTAGCCAAATAAATACGCTTCTATATTCTATGTCATGTTACTTATCCTTGATCTCTTCTGTCTGCTCTCTCCAATCGCAGGACTCTAAAATCTAAACAATTTAATACACATCCTCTTGCGGGGTTCTACAATCTCCACAGTTTAATAGATGTCATCTTTCAGGGCCCTAGAATCTTTTTAAATAAGCATGTGTATTTGTATTAAATAGGTAACAGTTGTATCAATATTTTTTGGCAGGATGTATCACAATTATAGGGGCTGTGGTTTTCGCATCGACCATTTACATAAGAGCACTACAGTTATCAGCCACGAAACTTGATTACTCTTTCGGGCTGGCAGTCGCTGGAGGCGGAACCTCCATCATCTCTGCAATGCTAGTGTACACAGGTGGACCCAGGAAAGTCACTATAGCCTTCCGTGATGCAGTGAGCTCAAGACGAGCCATTCTTTTAGCCTCAGTCCCACAGCCGCCTGCATATTCGTCACCGTTACAGCACGTCGTGGGTCCACCGCCCCCCTATGACCTGCAGAAGTCGCTGGTACCCCCAGCTTACGACGACGCCCCTCTACTGCCACCACCGTATTACTCCATATTTGATCAAAGAAACCTTGCGCCCCCTTGATTGGAATACGACGTCATTTATGCTGGCACATTCCAGGGGAATAACTCAGTGCACAATGGGATCTTGTTTCGGCAAAATGTGCTGACTACATAATTGTATCCAACCCAACAAGTACGTACTCAAGTCAACTACATACATTGCATCCAACCCAACAAGTACGTACACAAGTCAACTACATAATTGTATCCAACCCAACAAGTACGTACACAAGTCAACTAAATACATTGTATCCAACCCAACAAGTACGTACACAAGTAAACTACATAAATGTATCCAACCCAACAAGTACGTACACAAGTCAACTACATACATTGTATCCAACCCAACAAGTACGTACACAAGTCAACTACATACATTGTATCCAACCCAACAAGTACGTACAAAAGTCAACTAAATGCATTGTATCCAACCCAACAAGTACGTACAAAGGTCAACTAAATACAAGGATACTTTTATGAAATCCAACAAGTATGTACTAAAGTCAAGACAAAAAGAAGAACATGCTACACAAGATTAAACAAGAGAGTCAATTATCAAGTAATTTACTTAATGATATGCACTTTACATGGAACATGGACGGATGAATGAAGGCTAAATCTTTCATTTTAAAACACTACGAGAATGAATATTAGAGTGACAGTTTTTTATATTGTTAAATGTCTCTAGTTTTTGTTGATATTTTCATAATGTTTAAATGTCTCTGTTTAATGATCATATTTTCATAATGTTTAAATGTATGTGTTTAATGTTGCCATTTTCATAATGTTTGAATGTCTCTGTTTAATGTTGATTATTTCATAAAGTTTAAATGTCCCTGTTTAATGTTGATATTTTCATAATTTTTAAGTAAATGTCTCTGTTTTTATGGTGATATTTTTCTTTCAGGGGAATCAACTTAATTAATTATAAGTTGATTAAGTTTCATGTCGGCGGGGAATGAATAAATAAAAGTTTCCTTCAAAAGTATTTATTTTAATTGTCACAGATTTTGGATTCAGAAAACCTGTATTACGCGTTTAAGAAATTAAATGCTTGATTAGATGAAGATCTTTACCATATATTAGGCTACTAGTTTATGTGGAATATGGTTTGAAATTTGCGTTAAAACATTTAGCTAAATCTTTGTATATATGAGTTTGTATATTTTGTGTGTATTTCTATGTGTGTTTGTGTAAAACAAAACAAAAAAAAGCATTGAAAAGTGATAGTAATATTTTAGCCTAATAAATCATATAATTTTAAAAACGAAAATTATGATATATAATACATTTTACGAATGATATGTGAAAAGCATTTTGTTAATGGTCCATGAAATTTAAAATCATACTTAAAAAAATTAATAAAGTATTATTAAATAAAAACTTAACGATTTTCTGATACACAAAATGCATAGCACACAGCCTAGAATAGAAATGAACTTTATTCGCACATACTTATTTAATGATACAACGTGTAAGGACGTACTGAGTGATATGCGCATGAAAATTAAGTGAATGACACATATTTAAAGATACTTTATTATGAACAAAATAGTATCAAATTAAAATATGTCTAGCGTCACTTCTAAAACTAGCCAAGCACAGAGCGTTTGTAAACAAAACGTTTAACTCATATTTTGCTTGAAAGCAAGAAAGAAAAAAAACATACATGTAAAATCGTTTACAAAAGGTAAACAAATCTTTATATGCAGATTGATAGAGGGTTTCTTCTACAAATTGAACAAAGGTCAATTATACAAAATAGAACAAAAGATTTATAGACGCATTATACAAAGGTTTATTATACAAATTGGAAAAAGGTTTGTATACAAATTGGAAAAAGGTTTATATACAAATTGGAAAAAGGTTTATATACAAATTGGAAAAAGGTTTATATACAAATTGGAAAAAGGTTTATATACAAATTGGAAAAAGGTTTATTATACAAATTGGAAAAAGGTTTATATACAAATTGGAAAAGGGTTTATATACAAATTGGAAAAAGGTTTATTATACAAATTGGAAAAACGTTTATATACAAATTGGAAAAAGGTTTATATACAAATTAGAAGAAGGTTTATATACAAATTGGAATAAGGTTTATATACAAATTGGAAAAAGGTTTATATACAAATTGGAAAAAGGTTTATATACAAATTGGAAAAAGGTTTATTATACAAATTGGAAAAAAGGTTTATATACAAATTGGAAAAAGGTTTATATACAAATTGGAAAAAGGTTTATATACAAATTGGAAGAAGGTTTATATACAAATTGGAATAAGGTTTATATACAAATTGGAAAAAGGTTTATATACAAATTGGAAAAAGGTTTATATACAAATTGGAAAAAGTTTTATATACAAATTGGAAAAAGGTTTATATACAAATTGGAAAAAGGTTTATTATACAAATTGGAAAAAGGTTTATATACAAATTGGAAAAAGGTTTATATACAAATTGGAAGAAGGTTTATATACAAATTGGAATAAGGTTTATATACAAATTGGAAAAAGGTTTATATACAAATTGGAAAAAGGTTTATATACAAATTGGAAAAAGGTTTATTATACAAGTTGGAAAAAGGTTTATATACAAATTGGAAAAGGTTTATATACAAATTGGAAAAAAGGTTTATTATACAAATTGGAAAAAGTTTTATATACAAATTGGAAAAAGGTTTATATACAAATTGGAAAAAGGTTTATATACAAATTGGAAAAAGGTTTATATACAAATTGGAAAAAGGTTTATATACAAATTGGAAAAAGGTTTATATACAAATTGAGCATAGATTTCTACAAACAATGCAAGGTTTATATACAAATTGATCAATGTTTTATTTCAAATTTTAGGTTACCGGAAATTTGATCGAAAGAAATTTCGTCGACGGTAAATTGATCGACGATAATTTGATCGAACGGAAATTTGGTCGAATCTTTTTTTCAGTCCACACGTCAAAATTTTCGGTATATTTCTTTTTGAACGCACTACACTATATAGTAAAACAAAATAATGCGCTCAAAAAGAAATTTGAAGCAAGATTTTAACGTAAAAACTGAAAAATTGATTCGACCAAATTTCCGTTCGATCAAATAACTGTCGATCAATTTACCGTCGACGAAATTTCTTTCGATCAAATTTCCGGATACGCAAATTTTGTTGTTTTGTCACTTAATGTCATTACAATTTATAAGTTAAAAGAAACCATCAACACATGTTTAACTGTTTATATATAACCTCTTTCATAAACTAAATGGGAAAAAGAATATATTTTACATGTGTAAAATATAAACTATCGAATAAAATCCATAATGAAAAGAGTAGAATTGTAAATATACAAATGATCAGATGTTAACACAATTGAAGCGTTGCATTGTCAAATTATAATTTATTTCACGACAAACATGTTTAAAGAAAGCACAAAGAAACTTACATTAACAAAAACAATCATTAAAATGTTTTTAAAATTACAGCATTCATAAAGGGTTAAAATAATATTTGGCTAAACATAAGCCTAACAAATCATGAAAAATGTTACACCAAACATTAATTAAATGACAATGTCGCAGCAAAGCATTTGACTGTTAAAAAGTCAGTGTTAGGTTAACAGATACACGTTTTAAAAGTCAGTGTTAGATCAATGGATGAATGTTAAAAGTGTGAGTAACATCAACGGATGAAAATCACAATGTCTTGGCTAGATCAAGAAATGAATGTTAAAAAAACTGAGTTTGTTCAAAATATGAATGTTAAAAATAAGTAAAAGATCAACATATGAAATTAAACAATGAGCAACTGTTCATTGTATACAAGAGTAAGTGTTCAGTGAATACAAGAGTAGGTGTTCAGTGAATACAAGAGTAGGTGTTCAGTGAATACAAGAGTAAGTGTTCAGTGAATACAAGAGTAGGTGTTCAGTGAATACAAGAGTAAGTGTTCAGTGAATACAAGAGTAAGTGTTCAGTGAATACAAAAAGAGGTGTTCAGTGAATACAAAAGTAAGTGTTCAGTGAATACAAAAGTAGGTGTTTAGTGAATACAAGAGTAGGTTTTCAGTGAATACAAGAGTAGGCAAGCGTCACCTGCGACCAAAGCTGTGTCAATGTACATCTGTCCTTTTTATTGTAATATAAATAAGGTAAATATTTATTTAATTGTATACAGGCAAGGTAAATGAATCACATATTTAGAAAAAGTATACTTTTTCTAAATGATTAAAATTTGAAGAAAATTTTTAATTAGCTTAAATGGAACTGCATCAAGGAATTACGCAAATTATTATGGAGATAAGAACTTTCTATTGGCCCTGAAGACTGCTATGGCGTTGTCGTTAATGGTATGGTAGGAATTGAGATCACTGTGAAAACATATTTGAAAACACTTTACATGTGTAGAGAGCTAAAATCGATTTGAATCAATTACGTAAATCCAGAATCAAAAGTGTTGCCATGAAATCTTCAGTACAAGTTGGACAGTGTTAGATCAATATATAAATGATTAAAAAAAATTAGAATTAAATCAGCAGAAGAATTTTAACAAGTCAGTGTTAAATCAGTGTTGCATCAAATTGCTAAGTACAAACTTGCAGTGTTAGATCATAAATAAGTAGGTTGAAAATTAAGAAATAGATCAACAGACGAATTTTTACCAGTCAATGTTACGTCAAAAAATAAATGTAAAAAGTCAGTATTATTTACGAAGATGAATGTTAAACTGTCTGAGATAGAATCAATAGTTAAATGTGAAAAGTCAGTGTTATATCAAAAGATGAATGTTAAAATGTCTGAGATAGAATCAATAGTTGAATGTGAAAAGTCAGTGTTATATCAAAAGATGAATGTTAAAATGTCTGAGATAGAATCAATAGTTAAATGTGAAAAATGTCAGTGTTATATCAAAAGACGAATGTTACAAAATTTAAGTTACATCAACAGATTAATAGTAAAAATTCTCAGTTTTATCAGCATATGATTGTTCAAAAGAAATTGTTACATTGTCAGATAAAAAAATGGGAAAATTGTCGTGGAATAACACATTAAGTAAACGTCACTTGCGACCAAAGCTAATTCAAGGCACATCTTTAATTTTATTGTAATATAGATCGGGAAAATTCCCCCCAATATTTGATACACATCTTCCCGAAACATCCTTGTCAAAAGGTATTATAGGTAATTCTGTCAAAGGTTGAGACTTATTAAATTACTCAATATATTTTTTCTCACGCCTAACATCGAGTTAAATCATTTAAAAAGTATGTGAATTCGTAATGAGACATTAACTTTCTTATTTCCCCTGGAAACTGCACCAGCGGTTTCATTAAAGGTGTGGTAGGCAAGTTGGACAAATGGTTATTTTATTTGAAAACATTCCATAAGTTTTAGAGTTAAAATAAATTTAAATTAGTTACGTAACTTCAGATGTCAAAGTGCTGCTAAAAATTCTTTAGAACATGCTTGCAGTGTTGGATCAATAAACCAATGTTAAAAATTCGTAAATAGACCAACATGACTAAACATACATTGCATAAAGTATCAGGTAAGCGTCACCTGCGATCAAAGCTATTGCCAATGTATATTTGTCATTGTATTGTAATATAGATCATTTAAATCTTTATTTTTGATTTAGTTAGGGTATTTTTTCCATATCCTGATATGTACCTTTCTGCAACCACGTTGCCGTTAATGTATAATAGGAAATTTCGCCAAATGTTGACAGTTATTTTAGAACACACTTTACATTTTTTTAGACACCTAACATCGAGACGAATGACTTGCATAATTTCAGATGCAAAAGTGTTGGCTACAATTCTTCAGCACCACTTTGCAGTGTTAGATAAATAAATAAGTTAAATAAATTCTCAGTCCAACAAGTGCTTGTTAAATAGGCACTATTATTTAAGTAATGGAAATAATCTAGAGAAAATATTTGTTGAATAAAATATGAAGTAAACGTCATCTGCGATTAAAGCTTTTGTTACCTTACATCGGTCATTGCATTGTAATATTGATCAGGTAAATCATCAATTTATTCTTTAAAAGATATAGTAAAATTGATCTATATCTTAATATGTATTGTCTTCGAAACGGCGTAGGACAACATGCATCATAGGCAATTTTTCCAAATGTTGAGTCTAATTTGAGAACACTCGTAAGTTTTTTTTTTTTTTTTTTTTTTTTTTTTGTGACAGCTAACATCGAGTTGAATAAATTACTTCAATTAAGATACAAATAGGTTGCCAACAATTCTTCAGCACGACTTTGCAGTGTTAGATAAATAACTGAATGTAGTGAAATTAGTATTAGATCAGCAGATCAATGTGGAAACTATAGTGCTAAATACATCAATGTAAATGTTCAAAAACTTAGTTGGTTTA